TGCTATAAAAAATTTATTTCAATTTATTTTATTATTTTAATATTGTTTTATTTTATTGTTTCGTTTTCTTTTGTTTTAGGTCCAGTTTACTACAAAAATCTGGCACCCAAACATCAGTTCGGTGACAGGAGCCATATGCCTAGATATTTTGAAGGACCAATGGTTGTTTGTTTGTCTTTTGTTGTTTAATCTTATTTCAAAAATTGTTCTTGCAAAATTAGACATGATGTTGATGTTGGTGATGAATTTATTGATGATAATGACGAAGGTGATTGATATTAAGAATGATGCGGATTAATTTTCATTGTTAATGTTGGAAGTTGATGATGAAAATATTGCTGAAGATAATGATATTGATGATGATGTTAAAATTAAATGAAAAGCTTTTCTTTGGTGAAGTGAATATTTGTTTATAATGTTTCAAAAAGTTTAATTTCAAAAACAAAATCCAGCATTTCCGAAAAGACAAGATCAAACAATTTCAAAATCAAATCCGATTCATTTTTAAAAATGAAAATCCCCCAAAATCAAAAAATTATTTTCCAGGGCGGCGGCTATGACGTTGCGGACAGTCCTGCTATCCCTACAGGCTCTCCTGTCGGCGGCCGAACCCGACGACCCGCAAGACGCTGTGGTGGCCAAACAATTCAAAGAGTCTCCTGACATTTTCAAAAAGACCGCTCGACATTGGGCCAATGTTTATGCTGGAGGTAGGTTGTGTCTTGATTAGTGAATGTGTGTCTGTGTGTGTGTGTGTGTTACATGCTAATTTATCCGATTGAGGAATTTGGTTTTCGTGTGTGTGTTTGTTTTTTTTCACACTAATTTATTTGTGTGTGTGTGTGTCTGTATCTGTGATATTCATTTCAATTTTTCTCCCTCTACTTCTTTTTCTTTCTTTCTTACATTCAGGGCCCAAACGAGAATATGACCTTGAGCAGAAAGTGGAACAGCTCAAAACAATGGGCTTCGAAGAAGTTATTATTATTTATTATAGTTATTATTTTTATTGATGTTCATAGTATGATTTTATTTCTGCTGTAAGTTTTGCCAATATTATTATTATTGTTATTATTATTATTATTAGTTGTAGTAGTAGTAGTAGTAATAGTAGTAGTATTAGTAGTAGTAGTATTAGTGAAAGTGGCAATAGTAGTATCAGTGGTAGTATTATTGCGGTTATTATTATTAATATTATTATTGTTGATGTTGTTAAATTATTATTATCATTATTATTATGTAAATTTACCTAAAAGTAGAAAAATTTTGTTGACCTTCACCCTTGACCTTCACTTATAGCACAGGGCGAGGGCGGCACTGTCCACGCACAACTGGATGACCGAGAGGGCAATGGAGCATTTGCTGAGCTGAATTAATTATGATTTATAATTATTTATTATTATTAATAATTATTATTTATTATTTTTGTTATTACTTGTTTACCTATTACTATTTTTATGTTTTCATTATTATTATTGTGGTCGTTACTAATTTATTATGGATAGTAAGTGCTCTCGTTGTGAAACAATTAAAATGATATAAAGATAAAAAAAAATTTAGGGTATTAAACTTGATGAAACATCGTTTATTATTATTATAATTTTTATTATTATTGCTATTATTAATATTATAATTATTACTGTATTTTTATTCAACTAAATCAGTTTTTTTTTTTAAATTTTGCTGCGTGTCCACATCTTGGCCGATGTGATTCTTTTCCTCCTTATAACCCTGCTAAAAGTTTCATTAACAATAGGTTTATTATTATTTAATTATTACTCTTATTATTATTTATTTATCATTATTTTTATTTATTATTATTATTATTTAATAGTGATATGCTATGGTGTAGTTTTATCTATAAAGAATAAACTAATCTTTTATTGAATCTTTCAAAAAAGTATCATCATCATCAATGCCGCCAGTTTGATCATAAAAATAAAATGAGATGAATTAAAATCATTATTATTATTATTATTATTGTCATTTTTAATATTTTTTTGCATGCGTTTGCAGTTAATGCATCTTATTTGGAATGCACACAAAACTGACTTTTGTTTATAACTCTAGCTCCTATATACAATATATAACCCTACATTGTGTGTGGTGTGTGTGTGTACCAAATTTTTGAGAGTATATATATATATTATATATATGTATATATATACCTGTGATGTGTGTGTATGATATATGTGTAAACATGTATATCTTGTATATCTATATGTGATATATATATTTATATATACATGCATTTGCAACATATATACATGTATGTGTGTTTTTGTGTGTGTGTGGTGAGTGTGTGTATCACATTTCGTCGGTCATCTTTCTGTAGTCTTTGCAATTTTGAAGAGTTCGTTGTTTTGATAAATAATGTTGTGATGAAAAAATTAATTGGCTAATTAATTAACTAACCATTTTATCTCATCAGATAGTTAAAATTATTATTGATATAAGGGTTTCTTTCATTATTTAAATTACTTTTTATTTAAATTTAATATAATTAACTTGAAATTCGTATTTTTAATTTTACGTTTTACTGGCGTATAAAACGAAAAGAGAAATTAAAAAAGGCTTTGCTATGGTTTTTGTTACAATGTATAAATTAATAAAAATGAAATTTAATAAATTCAAATGATGGTCTGTACGAGAAGAATGGTTAATATGTCTGTTATAAAGACGTTTCAAATTTTAAAAGTAGAAAAATATTTTTATAAGAAAAATTATCGTAGAAGACTTAGCGGTAGAAGGCTCTGTTTTTAACGGATGACTATTTTATGAAAGTTCTCAATGTTTTCTCAACATCGTTGGTTTGATTGGTCTGGTCATTTTCAGAGTTGTGGTTTGGGCAACGTCTTTCGAGGGCCGGTCTAATAGTGTTTTTGGTTTATTAGTTTTCAATGTAATCGTCAATTTGCATTTGTTTCTTTCTACTGAGGCGGGTGTAGGCATGGTTGAGCGTGCAGTTGAACCTCTGACGAACGAGCTGTCTGAACTTTTTTGCGTGGTTGTGTTGGTGGCGGTTGTGTTACTGAGATTTGATCTGTTTGAAGAGGATGATCCGTTTCGTTTGCGTGGTGCATCAGAGGGATTGCCATTCAGCGACAACGTTGACAACTTCATCAATGATGATTTGTTGCCGTTGAGAGCGTAAGCCGGCGGAGATGGTTTGGAATTTTTTGGGCGATCGTCCCTGGAAAGATGTGGTTGCTTTTTAGTAGAATCTAGTAGGAAGGAAGCAGTCAGGTTGGTGATCGGGTCGAGACGTGTATGGCGGAGTTTTGCTTCGACGGCGTTAGTGTAGGACTGCAAATCCCTCCGTCGCACGCCTGTAGCCGAAGAGGATCGCTGTTTCTTCCCAGACGCCGAAACTGTTGAGGTAGATTTGAAGTTATTTTGCGAGGACGCTGAAGAATCTCTGAGAGAAGTTCGTTTTTTATCTGTAGATGTCGCCGGCGGGTTAGATGTCTTGTAAATCGTTTCGCTTTTGACTCGCTTCTCTTTTTCTTGTTTGCTTTTTTCTGCTGCCAGTGGTGTCACTCGACTTGCTGGTTTTGAAGCTGTTCTGTTGAATGCGTTGGGCGGTTTGTGGTTGAAGTTTGCGATTGTGGAGCCGAAATTTGTCCTAAATTGATAAGGTCTTGTTTTTTGAGATTCAGTTGATAGTCCTGATGTTGTTGGTCGCATCGATGAGATTTTTGAATGCACGTTGCTTCGTGCTGTTGTAGGATGCATCTCGTTAGATCTGTCAATAATTTGTTTTGGTTTAACGTTGGTGGAGCTCAAGCTTAAAACCTTTTCCTGTTTACTAGTTTTAAAATTGTTATTTAACGAAGGAGTAGTTGTAATTTTTTGAAAGTCGATTGGAAGATCATTCGTGACGTTGATGTTCACGGAACCCGAGTCTCTTTCTCGAGAACTATTTCGAGAACTCTTCTGAGATGTTGATGTATTAGAGAACTCTTCGGAGTCGAACCCTTCGTCTTTGAAGTTGTTGTCAGATAATTTGTCAGAGTAATGTTTCTCGCTAGTGACAGAACTGCTGGTAGAATCTCTGTTGTGGAGGTTTTTGATGTTGCTGACGTTGCTGTTGATGCTGTTGGCCGTTGCATTCACCTCTCGTCCGTAATTGTGCGTGCGCTTCATTTCAACTTCCTGAGGTTCCAACCCAGAATATAATTGCGTTAATCTCTTCATGCGTTCTTTCACGTTCAGTGATGCCGCTGGTGGTGGTGGCGGTGTAGATAAATGAAGAGCGTTGTCAACTTTGAAGTCTTCTAATTTTTCAGGAGCACTAAGTTGAATTTTAGGACTAGTGAGACTTTCGTTGAGATTCAGATCACTGTTGAACATTTCCAAAGATGACTCCAATTCTCTAATCTGTTGTTCGTATGATGCTGCTTTCATCGCGATTTCTCGGCTCAAACGTTTATCGAGTTGATCATGCTTTGCCGTATCGCCAGAATCTTTATTCCTCATTACGGCTTTGTTGTTTTCTTCTATATCAACTGGAGATAGAGAGTCAACTTTTTGTACTCTAGATGGACAGGAGCTTCTAGTCCGGCTCCTTCTAACGAAGGAATATTCGTTTCTGTCGGTCGTTTCTTCGGTGGGCTTATCGCAAGAATTGTTGCTAAGCAGCAAGCTGTCGAGACAGGTTGGTTGTGAGTTGTTGCAGTTCAATGGAGATCTCTCCCTGTCTACATTCTCGATGTAGTTCTTACTCTTTCTCCTGTTGATTCGGAGGCTGTTGAATCTTATCGATTCCAAAGTATCGAGATTAGTAGATGGCTGTAGGAGGATGTTCATGAGGTCTCTTGTCTCGTCTCCTTTCTCGTTAACTGCAAATAAAAGTTAAAGTTTAATAAATTCATAATTTGTTAATTAATTCTTTTTTCAATAAGAACAAAAACTTCGTCACATGTCACGATTATTTACTGTCGAATAAATTAAAATCGTTTGGTCGTCAAACGTTAAAAATCCACCAAGTTTTAAAATAACTCAGACATAATCACGACACAGTTGTTAACGAGACAAATTAAGACAGTGAATTTGAAAAATTGAATTGAAAATCCATATGAGAACAAAAACTCATTCAAATTTAATCTTAAAAAACTAGATCCAAAAAAACCTATACAAGCACTGCATATGACAAATTCATTCAAAACGTGACTACTACTAATAAAAAAAACTATAACATATTCTAAAAACTTGAACGGTAAATCCCCAAATCCTAAAAATATCGCATCACAACTTACTTCCTAAGTCAAATCTTCTTGTTATAGAAGCCGATCTTACTCTATGCGTCGGTTGTGTTTGTTGGACCTGTCCTAGGACGCTGAATTCATGACCATCATTGTCAGAGTTACTTGAAGGTGCAGTAGAGCCTTGAATCCGTACTTTAAAGTCATAATTACAAATAATTGTTAATTATAAATGTTAATTACAAATAATATAATATAAAAAAATATTAGGCAGCATATTTATTACAATCCATTTACATTTGTAATTATGAATAATTACAAATAGTAATTACAAATAATACAGGCGACCTTAACCATTACACCATCAATTTTATTATTATTATTATTATTATTATTTTATTATTATTATTATTATTATTACTAATCATATATCGTTGTACTCGTTTATTTCAAATGATGAGCATCGTAGAATACTATTGTATTTAATTTAATTTAAATCAATTTATCTATTTTATTTTATTTTATTAGATTTTAATTAGACTTTTATCTCATTTTACTATATTTCATATTTTTCTAGAAATAAAAGAGAGTTCACATTACGTACAATTATTACAGCTAGATTTTCTCTGCATACTTTTCTCTCTTTCTTGCTTTCTCTGTGCCGCTCTCTCCATCTGAAGATCTCTTTCTTTGTTTTCCTGTGAAGAAATTTATTTAGTTATTATTTGTACTTGAAATTATAATTAATATTATTTATTATTATTATTAGTATTATTATTATTCTTGCTATATTATTAAATATTTGTATATTTATCTATAGAGCGTTTATTTAATATGTAATTTAGAGTTTGAAGGCCGTCCTATTTATGCGAAGGCCCAGAAATGTCAAGGCACACACAAATCACTTCATAGTAGGATCGGATCAGTGGACTTTAACCATTAACCCATAAAGCCGACCAAAAAACGTCATAATGAAATATCAATGATGAAGTTAAACAGAAATTTTCCCTAAAAAAAATTGCATTACTGAAGAAAGATTCATTAAAAACATTAAAAAGTGTCTAAAGTTATAAAGCACCCAACTTACATTATGGGCCGTGATGAAACGCTTGCAGAATGAATCAACAACCGTGATACATTCGTCTAATTTGAACGACTGTTCATCATCACAGAAGTACTGACATAGCTCTAATCTCATTTGCTCAACTTCATCCATTTCAGCGCTCACTATTGACATCTGCTCCTCTAAGATCTGGATGAGTTGGGGAGAAAAAAATATAGGGTTTTATAATCATCATTTTGTCATTTCACAAAGCCAAGGTTGTATTTCAGTTAAACCAAAAGTTGGGACAGCATCCCATTCCGACAACACGTAATAATAATAATAATAATAATAATAATAATAATAATAATAATAATAATAATAATAATAATAATAATAATAATAATAATTAGAAGAAGAAGAAGCCCAACTAAAGATTATTTAATTCATCCGTCATTAATTTATTCATTCGTTAAACATTCACTTATCTGTGGGCTATACGTATGCCATTCATTCTTTCATTTGTTTATTTACTCATTCATTCGTTCGTTTGTTTAACCATTCATTTATTCATTCATCCATACATTCATTCATTCATTCATCCATCCATTCAATCGATCAATCAGACGTCCATTAAAATTAGTCGCAATTAAAAATTTCATCAGCCTTCGCCGACTTCGCCGAGTTAATGTTTCTATCCATTATATGTGTTAAAAAAAATTTATTTCTCCAATAGAAACGCCACTACTACTACTCCTGCTACTACTACTGCTGCTACTACTACTGCTGCTACTACTATTGCTACTACTACTACTACTATTACTGCTACCACTACTACTGCTACTGTTACTACTACTGCTAATACTACTTCTGCTACTACTACTACTACTACTACTGGTACTGCTACTGCTACTATTACTACTACTTTTACTTCTACTAGTACTACTGCATTTACATGCAAAAAGAAACGAGAGAGTGAAATAGAAAGAGCGAATGAGAAAGAGAGAGGAAAAAGAAGAATAGAATTAAAAGAGAAAGAGACACACACATACTTATACAAACAATCAAACACACACACATACAAACAGAGAGAGAGAGAGAGAGAGAAAGAGAAAGAGAGAGAGAGAGAGAGAGAGATTCGAAAACAGACGGGCGACTAATTAAACGTATGGCAAACGGATTGACAGAATTAATTTTTAATGTAAACATAGCGAAAAGAGCGCAATAAATAATGAATGAATGAAGATAGAGTAAATTTTATACTTCACATCCATTGGATTGTTTATTATTATTATTATTATTATTATTATTATTATTATTATTATTATCATTATTATTATTATTATTATTATTGCTGTTGTTGTTGTTGTTATTATTATTATTATTGTTATTACGATTAGTGTAGTTGTTGCTGCTGTTAGAGTTGTTATTAATTAATTAATTAAATAATTAATTATATTATTGTTGTTGTTGTTGTTGCCTTTTTTTGCACATCCACACATCCACACAAACACACCCACACACACACACACACACATCCACACACATACTAAGCTTTTCTTTACTAAACTACTAAATTGTGATTAGGAGTGTTTATACAAGTTAAGTACTTGTGGTGTATTCGTTGTCGGTTTTAAAGGAAAATTCATGTTAACGCGAACCAATGTTTGCACAAACACACACACACACACACACACACATGCATTTACACATGCACATATGTATATATACATACATACACATATATATACATACACAAACACACATATATACGGACTATATACATACTCACACAATTGAATCATTATTCTATTGTATTAACAAATAATCTGCATCACACACACACGCACAAACACACACACACACACACACACAAACAAATATACATACACGCACACACACACAAACAAATATACATATACACATACACACAGACACACAAACAAACAAACACATCGTGCACTGTCAGATGAAAATAAATCGACAGAGACAACCTTAACAACTGTTTGATAAATTACTACTCTTCCTGTAATTTTCAATCAGATGGTTTTTTATATTTGTTCATTTAATAATAATAATATTATTATTAGTATTATTATTATTATTTATTGTCGTTGTTAACCAAAAAGCACGTTTTAAAGAAAAGTGATAGGAAAAAGGCGCGACTCATAAAGATGTGAAACATTTTACTGACTAATTAATTAATCTAGTTACTTGTTTTTTTATAATCTGTCAAATTCCGATTTTTTAAAGAATAATATTAACCACAATACAACAATAATTAATAATAATACATGCTGATATTCTACTGGAGAGAGAGAGAGAAGAGAGAGAGAGAGAGAGAGAGAGAGAGAGACAGAGAAAGAGAGAGAATTGTCAGTAAAGCAGTATAGTAGCGTAGATAGATAGAGAACCCACAATAAATTTTATACTCATATTTTCATTTTCATCATTATCCCATTTTCCTGGTATTCTCTGTCTCTCACAGATTTTGAAATATAGAATGAGAAAAAGAGTCAGATGGTTTTGGTTCGTCGCTAGTTAGAATGTTTCTACCAGATGACAAAATGGCTTTGTGTGCTATCCAGTAGCTCAGATCAGAGATCTCATAGGTCGATGAAAATATAGTAATAATGAATCAAGTTTTTAACTCTATGTTCACTCACATTTCAATCTTGGAATATTCAGTCAACGAGATGATAATGATGATTATAATTATTATTATTATTATTATTATTATTATTATTATTATTAATATTATTATTATTATTATGTTGATGACGAAACGATAAAGACTGTATAATGGCAATAAAACCTTCAGTGATAAAAAAAAATAATTACGCTTTTTGATAACAAGTAAACAGCAACAAAGATTATAAACGAATGAATGAATGAGTGAATGAATGAGTGAATGAATGAATGAATGAATGAATGAACGAACGAATGAACGAACGAATGAACGAACGAACGAACAAACGAACGAATGAATGAACGAACGAACGAACGAACGAATAAATGAGTGAGCGAGTGAACGAATGAACAAACGAACGAACAAATAAATGGTAAACGAATGAACGAACGAATGAATAATTGAATGATATATGTAACATTTACACGCAGAATATTTATCTATCTATCCATCACGGACACACGCACATACCTACAAACCATCAATTATTTATTCATCATCATCGTAAAGATTTACTACTCACGCACACACATACATACACACGCACACACACACGCACGCACACATTTATATTTATATATTAACGCACGTGTATATATAATATGATTAGTGTCAACAAATTTGATACTCAGAGTGGTGGTGTTGAATAGCAAGTCTCTATTGAAACCTTTGCTGTGTTTGTATGTGTGAGTGTGTGAGAATGTATGTGTGAGTGTGTGTGTGTATTTACATTTTGGGGTAGTAGGTTACTATGAGGTATTTTTGGCGTATTCTGAGTGTATTTATGGTACTGTAAAATTATTTTGATGTGTAGTTTTTTATGTTTGTGCTTTTGTATGTTTGTGTTTTTGTATGTTTTGTATGTTTGTATTTTTGTATGTTTGTGTTTTTGTATGTTTGTGTTTTTGTATGTTTTGTATGTTTGTATTGTGGTGTATTTGTGTTGCATGGTAGTGATAATTTGTGTATCGTGTTGTGTGTATTGTATTTCATGGAGGTACTGTGTGTTTTATGATTGGAAGATAAAATAAAAACAAGTCGTTGTATTTTATTTCATTGAATGGCTATCGTCATAATCATCAAAGTCATCATCCTAACTCTCGTTGGCAGACGCTTCAACAGCAGCTAGATCATAATCATCATCTAGATCATCATCATCATCTAGATCATCATCATCTAGATCATCATCATCTAGATCATCATCATCTAGATTATCATCTAATACGTTTAAATGAATGGACAGACATAATCTCGCTTTACGAACTTAAACAAAATCCATCGCGTTATATATTATAGAGAGAGAGAGAGAGAGAGAGAGAGGAGAGAGAGAGAAAGAGAAAAAGAGAGAAAGAGAACGAGAGAAAGAGAAAATAAGAGTCCCCTATCAAATTTAAGTAAAAAACCTTAGTATTATTTTTCCTTTTGTTAGAGATTTTCAGAAAGTGTGTGGTTTTTTTTTGTGTGTATGTGTGTGTGTATGTATGTATGTGTGTGTGTGTGTGTGTGTGTGTGTATGTGTGTGTGTGTGTGTGTGTTACATACTTGAGTTGAGCATATTTTGTTTCTCATTTGGATGAATATACGATAATGACGATGATGATGATGAGTACAAAGAGGTTGGTGAACATATGAGAAAAGAAGAAATTATTAAAAGCATCAGTTAGAATTTTCCAACTTTTTATAATAATATATTTTAACTCTAGTTTAATTTTCAGATATTCTTTTCAATTTTCACAATAAAAACTAGTCCAAAACAACAAAAAGTCCAATTTAATAATTCATTTCATAAGATAATGACAAAAACAAACTAAAATAATGCACAAACGCATAAAAACACCTAAAAAAATACCAAAAACACATCAAAAAACACCCCAAAAAACACCCCAAAAAACCAAAATATACCAAACAAATACAAAATACAAACGAATACAAACCTTGCCGCATTGAGACAGTTGTTTTTTGGTTTCTGGGAACGCTAGGCCGCCCACCAATAGAGCATCAACCGTGGCATCGAAATTGGATTTGAACTTTTTCAAGTCGGAAAACAAGCACGGAACATTGTGCCTGTATTTTAGTATTTTGAGGCATTTCTTGGATTGTTATTATTGTTTTTTTATTTATTTTATTATTATTATTGTTGTTGTTGATATTATTATTGTTGTTATTATTATTGGTTTTCGTTTTACGTATGCGTTATATTATATCGCATTTTAACTCGTTCAATGGAAGAGTAAAGACTAATAGTATGTTTGTATTTAGGTATTTTGAGTATTTCTTTGTATTATTGTGGTTGTTTAAATTATTTTCGTGTGTGCGTGTGTGTGTGTGTGGTGTGTGGTATGTGTGTGTGCATGTGTGTGTGTGTGTGTGTGTGTGTGGTGTGTGTGTGCATGTGTGTGTGTGTGTGCATGTGTGTGTGTGTGTGTGTGTGTGTGTGTGTGTGTGTTATTTATTTACTTATTTGACAATATGCAATATTTATCTGTCGATAGCATGTTTATTAATTTTTATTTCTGAAATGTTTTAATGTACGCACCTGAGTATGTGCGTGTGTTTGTGTGTGTGTGTTTGTGTGTGTGTGTGGTGTGTGTTTTTGTGTGTGTGTGGTGTGTGTTTGTGTGAGAACGTTTTCGTGAATAAGAGTGGGTGTTATGTTGTTTTTCTTTTCTTTTGAACTTTTTGCTTTCTGTGATGGGATTTGGTTTGTTTGTATATCGAGTTGGAGTTTAGTTTCGGTCTGACGGATGTCAAGATGTTTGTTGTTGTTGTTGTTTGTGTTGTTTATTCATTTTGTAATATCTATGTTGTTTTGTTTGAACGGTTTTTTAATGAAGAAAAAAAGGATGTTTGAACAAGTGACAAACAAACAAACGAACGAACGAACAAACGAACAAACGAACGAACAAACAAACGAAAAAAAAAGTAATTGATGTTGAACTAACAATGATGAACTGGTATGCATTCTCAGAGCTTCTATCTGATTTATAACCGTTGGGTCCATGGACTGTATTTCCTGTTTGGGTTATTATTATTATTATTGTTGTTTTTTTATTATTATTATTATTATTATTATTATTATTATTATCCCACCATCAATCCGTCGTCAGTTGATTCAAGATATCCCCACACGTATGTGCAAAAATGTGGACAAGTTCACGTACAAATAAACAAACTGTAACAGAAACCACACCACAACCAACCAACCAATCAGTCATCAATCAACCATCCATTCAATCAGCCAACCATTCATCTGCCAGCCAATCAACCAACCAATCAACCAACCAGCCAATCATTCAATCACTTAACTATCCAACCAACCAATCAATCAACCAACCAACAAGCCAATCATTCAATCAACCAACCAACCAACAAGCCAATCATTCAATCACTTAACTATCCAATCATTCAATCACGTAACTATCCAACCAACCAACCAACCAACCAATCAACCAACCAATCAACAAGCCAATCATTTAATCACTTAACTATTCAACCAACCAACCAATCATTCAATCACTTAACCAACCAACCAACCAACCAACCAACCAACCAACCTGAGAAACATAATGCATAAGATGAAACTTGTGGTCATTTGACTTCAGATCAGTCAGCTGCAGTAGAGAGCATAGACGAAATCCCGCGGCATTGCCCGCATAAGCTCCCTAATAAAAAAAATAATTTTAATTAATAATTAATAATAATGAATAATTAATAATAATAAATAATTAATAATAATAATAATAAATTATAATAAACTCACTGTGTTGAGGAAATTGCCCACCATGAGGACCGTGTAGACGACCTCGTGGAAAGCTCTGCTCTCTTTTATGGCTGTTGTTGATGATGATGATAATAATGGTAATAATAATAATAATAAGAAGAAGAAGAAGAAGAAAAATAATAAGAATAATAATAATAATAATAATAATAATAATAATAATAATAATAATGAGATCAGCCTTTTATTTGCATCATGAAATAAAACGTTCATGAAAAAGGAATCATTAAAAGCTAATGGTTATTAAATAACTAACGAATAATAATAATAATAATTACAGTAATTACAGTAATAATGATGATAATAAGGTTAAGTTTTGAGTATCCCAGCACCTTTGGAGCAGTTGATGATGGCTTCGATCGCAGGCCGAGCCGTCTCCAGCAACTGATGGAGCTCCAGGTAAGATAGCATCGCTTGCGTTGTTTGGTGAAAACTGTGGTGGTCGTTATGTGGTGTGGTGGTAATAGTGGTGTGGCGATGATGTGGCCGTTATGTGGTAGTGGTGTGACAATGGTGGTGTGGCCGTTATGTTGTGTGTTGGTGGTGGTGTGACGATGGTGTGGCCGTTATGTGGTGTGGTGTGGCAATGGTGGTGTGGCCGTTATGTTGTGTGTTGGTGGTGGTGTGACGATGGTGTGGCCGTTATGTGGTGTGGTGGTGGTGGTGTGGCGGTGGTCTGGCGATGGTGTGGCCGTTATGTGGTGGTGTGGTGGTGGTGTGGCGGTGGTGTGGCGATGGTATGGTAGTTACGCCATATAGCACGTCTCTACCACACGCGTCAATAATATGCGAAAGCAAAATGTACCCGCATACCAAACATTTCATACAAAATGCCTGCATCTCTAACAAATACCCCATCACAGATACAAACTCCGACAAACTTAAAACTAAAATACCACAAATATTTATACAAAATAAAAAAAACTCGCATTTAATACCTACATACCATTGGAAAATAATGACAGAAATCAAAAGTTGATATGTACCAGAACCATAAAGCCATACGCCTAATACCAAATACCGACAAGATACCTACCTATATACATAATCACAGACGATACACATACATACCATGGAAAGTTAATGATGGAGAGTAAGAAATGCTCTGCACTCCCCAATCTCTCAACATCTCCCTTGTATTCCTTCAACGTCGTCCTCTCTCTATCGTCAGGGAATATGCGGACGAGAGATTTCAGTATCTCTATGTCGAGGACCTGATTGGATGAATGAATGAGTGAGTGAAAGAGTGAGAAAATGAAAGTGAATGAGTGAGTGAGTAAGTGAGTGAGTGAGTGAGTGAATTAATTAATAAATAAATTAATTAATTAATAAATAGATGGAAAAATCAATGGAAGAATAAATTAATGAGTGGTAGAATAATTTGACTGAAAAATAGAGTGAAGGAGTGAGTGAATTATCGATTGAGTGATTGAACGGATGAATGTGGAAAGACGTGGTTGGCCAAAAATTAGTATGCAGATAAGAGAAACAACAATAACAATAATAAATAAATAATAATAATAATAATAATAATAATAATAATAATAATGAATTTGCTAATTACTCAGATAAATAATTACCATACATGAATTTGCGGGCGTAAAAACCAAATGCAAATGAGATGAATGTAAGAAGAAACGGACGAACGAACGAACGAACGAACGAATGAACAAATGAACGAACGAGCGACTGAACGAACGACTGAATGAATAAATGAATGAATAACTAACGAATGAATGAATGAATCGAACGATAATGAATGCAACCGAATTGTTAATTAGCAATCTTTAAATCAAATAAATTAATGTAAGCACTAGCTAGTTTACGTGAAACCAAACTAAACGAACGAACGAACGAACGAATGAATGAATGAATGAATGAATGAAAGAACACACGATTGAACGAATGATTAATCAAACGAACAAATAAAAAAATGAATGAAATTAATGAATGAAATGAAATGAAGATACAACAAAACAAGGACACAAAAACGCAAATTTAGTTCTTATTTAAATAAAATATAAATAAATAAATAAAATATGAACGAATGAAAAATAAAGGAATAAAAAAAGAAGGAGAGAAAAGATAAATTAATGAAGAACAGATGAATGATCACGACAACCAGTCTAAACAACTTCGTCATTAGATGAATAAATTAACATAGACACACACACACACACACACACACACACATACAGACACACACATAAAGAAAGGAAGAATGGGATAAAGGAAAGATGAAGATACAAAAGGAGAGACAAAAACTGAGACAGATAAACACACACCC